CTCAGCAGTAAGAGCGATATAATCAACGTAAAAATCTGTTCGTCCAATCCGGTTTTATATGTTGGTGTTTACAATACTGCCCTGTACGTTGGGGACGATATGCTAACGACGGTGGTACGCTCCGATGCTTGTTCTGCTCTAAGATCGCTCGTTTTATTTATCACCACTGCGTCTGCTCTGTGTGGTTGCGGTCAGATAACTAAATGCAATAGGGCCTATTCGTTGACGGTCAGCCAGTGTAATAGCGGGATCTATGCCTCAGCGGCAAATTTACTTGTCTGCTTACGATGCAGTTGTTACGGTCGTTGATGTTCATACGGCCTTTCATTGAAGGCGACAGGATGAAGTTTATGTCGATCATATGGACCTCATACTTGTCGGTCTATCGCTTTATCAATAGGTACAACAGGTTTGTACGCCCATTACCGAAAATGATTGCTTACACGCATTAGTTATTTGCTTCAGCTCTAACGCGAGCAAGATTTCAGAACTAGCATCCGTACAGCCGTCAGCAAACCACAGGCTCAGTTCGTAAAGGCATTAGGAGAAAGTCAGCGAATTTTACTCAGGATAAGGGAGGTAAAACTGATGGCACTGAGAACCATTGCACAAGTACACACAAATTGATTCCTACTCCTGAATACAACATCGGCTGAGAGAAGACGAAGCCCTACAACCCAGTACAGACATTAATGTTATTGCAACACTAACTGGCTTTGCATGCGTGCTTCGACCATGACTTTCGCCGAACGATCTTAGCTATAAAGGCGGCGTTCGTGTAATGTGACAGAGCTCCACCGGTGTCAGCAATTGTCGTGTATATAGGCACGCACGTGGTTGAGCGGACTGACAACATTGCCTCAATCGACAGTGACTTCCGGGCTGCTTAAGTGGCCTCCTCGCGCGCTGATGATGATCGTAATGACTCCCTTGCTCCCTCAATGGTAGCTTACGCGAGCCGCAATCGATGAAGGACACTTTTGATAGTTGTCTGCTACTTTATGACTCTTACGATCGCCGCCTAGAAATCTGCTTACACGTGATGAGAACTGGCGAGGTGGTAACCATACAAACCAAAGCTTTTTCTCCCTGTCAAGCAATGATATGCTTTTCTATTACTGTACTAATGAATATGACAAGAAATAGTCCAAGAGGGGCAAAATTTAGAGACCCGCACAGTATATATTGCTCCACATCTTGCCACAGATTACTTGTTGCTTTACTGAGCACGTTTAACTTATGATGATGATGATGAAAATGACGTTGCTTTACAATGAGATGGTTCATTTAAAAAACTATTTCACAAAAGTAAATGTAATTCATTCGGCAACAAGTAAAATGCTACAACAGGAACCTATTTAACAGGATGGCGCCTTGGCAAATTGGCCTAGGAACGAGCGAGCAACACATTGAAACCTAGTCAGTTCGTGTTTGCTCAGACAAGCCAATAGTACCTTGTGTTTAAAATAAATATTGCACGTCAATTTGCAGAGATTATTTATTACAATCCCATGAACTCACATAGCACATATATCTATAGTGCGTCTGATGAAATCCTGTCGAAATCGCTAGAGGGCAAAAGCAACTTGACATTGATATTAGTCTCTACATGATGATCAATTTGAAAAATGGCAAAATGGCGACAGAGTGGAATAGCTACGGATAGGATCCTCAAAGCAGGACTTTCCCAAAAGCATAGTGGTCCTACTATTAACTCTAAACTTACATGGCTAATATGGGGATATTAGGCGGTTGAGAGTTACCAGAGTCGCATTGTGGCGCACGCGTTTTGCAGCTGCAGCCAAATTGGACTCTAGTATTGCCTAAAGTTACGGCTGGCTTTTGCTTCTCACGTCAGTACCCACTGAATTTGCATGCTCGTCTGTACCCGCTTAATTTCTACATCGGTTTCAGGAGAGATTCACTTCCTGTTCAATTCAAGAATAGGCAATCCTTTGCTCTGTCTGCGTCTTTCTCGCTATTTTCGTATTTTTTTGAGCGTCTCCAGAACCTTTTTCACACGGTCGGACTTGAATCGCATTCTGGCGCTGCTCACTCCGAGGCATGCAGTTCACCATAACGACGTCTAAATGGGCACTGTAGCACTTTTTTTCAATGTTTGTCCCTTACCCCCTAGGGAGTATATGAGGCTCATCAGCGCATAGGTCAATGTTGAATGTGATGCACGAGTCACTTGAAGCTGACTCCAATCTATGGCAATACGTTTGGAGGCCAGTGAAGATCTGGGTTAGAAAGCTAGACCACTTCTCCGATGCCACTACCACAACACTACGATGTTGGATATAAACCTTTTAATTCAAGCAACAACTTCTTCTGTGCTTTCCTATTTTAAAGAGTTGTGAACGTCATATTACAAAGCGGCGTTACAATACAACCCCAGCTAGGTCATAACCGCAACAGCATGAACATTTTTACCACGTAAACCTTAAAAGTGCTCCGCTTAAGGCATCGACACCTCGAGGATGATTCTAAGGAGCTTTATCTAATTTACAGATAAATTTGGCTGAACAAAAAAGTCTGCTGACTTTAACTAACATTGTTCGCATAGCATTGTATAAATTATGTAGCGGGAAGTCCTCGGAAGAAACTTCATGAAACTTTGGGACAGCATATTGATTGAATCATTAGAAATGAAAAGTGCTCTACTTTATATAGTTTCAATTTTGACAGACACGAATTAAGAATACAGGTGATTATTTGACAAACGATGCTTGAGGTTATATTCAAGTAGGACACACTTGGATGGCCCTTGTATTGTGTAAAAACAATATTTTTACCTCGAATTATCGATCTGCTTCCATTAAGATGGCTTCAAAGTTATATCGTAGTTAATATGAGTTGCTGCCATTTGAAAGTCGAGACTTGATAGTAGTAGTTGTGCTAAAATTGTCAGAGTGTCTTTATCCAGATTTAAAGCATGTTTTTCTAAGGATGAGTAAAACTTCTGCAAAAAATCGTTACTTTACGATACAGGCTCATGAATCTGCTGTACTACACACTACGGTCGAAATCCATTTTTGGAAAAAAAGATAGTTTTGTTGTTTTCCTTCTGAATTTCCATGTCAAATATGCTTATTGTAGTACGCGACCGATTACGAAAACAGTCGATGAAATTATCACTTATATCGAGCAAAATCGACACCTCGGCAGCCCCGATGTTGTCCAGGGTCTAAACATCTACTGAGGTATATTTTGAGAAAAGCTGGCTGCAAAAAGGCCAGTGCACTACGGGTTGCCGCTGCACGAGCATTGCAAAACAATTGATTTGTCAACAAAAAATAAAATTGGAAAAAGTCGACCAGAACCAACGAGAAAAACGGGCATTATTTATCACTAAGTTTATGCCAGGCCACATACATTTCGGTTAAAATTGGGAGAAGTTATGCATTCGCCATACGGTCCACATTTTGCTCAGACTATCGCCTGTTTCAGTCATTGCAGGATTCGTGTTGAAGTTGAGAAATGCAGAAGCTTATCTCGATTCTTTGCCCAAAAACCACGAAAGTTCTCCAGTGATGGGATTATGCTGTCACCGGAAAAATGGAAAAGGCTCATCGACCAAAATGGCACATGCTTAGTTTAATAATATTATCGCAAGACACATGAAATTTCTACTTCAACACGTTTTCGACAAGCTAATATAAAAAGGATTGTTAGCTTATATGGGGCGTATATGCGCGTCTTGAAAGACCCAAAGCAGCGACGTTTTAGGCAGAGCGTTAAGATGCACTCATAGTTATGGTGGTGGCGACTCTTTGTTGTTATTAATTATTGGCGCTGTTGTTTCCAAGCGCCAATAATTGCCTCTTCAGAAGTCCCTAATAGATCACAGTCTAGAAAATTGGCATCTCCCTATGACGTTCTCGAATGGGACCTTTCAGAGGGCCGCAACGATTCTAGGACTAAATCCTTGTAGGTTCGAATCTTTTCAGAGAACGCCAAGCTAATAGAAGCTTAATCTGACAGCTAAGAAATCCTAAATTAAGCACCTCGTTGTACCTTCACAAATTTTCCTTCACGATTAACTGATGCTTCTTCCAGTATACAAAAGCTGAATGTATACATATGTGTACCCGCGTCATACGAGTACTTAGTGGCTATGGTGATCCGTACTAAAATCAGTACGTGATACACAAATATTACCACTATAAACATGTCGAAACGTAATAACCCTTTTGATTCTGTGAACAGAATTTATTTCAAACTAATCATAATATAGATCTTAACTATATTACTTTTGGATATCTATAAAATATAATAGTTGCTAATGTGATCATGCGATACATATCAATAAAAACCGAGGATGTAAAAACAGCTGTGGGGGCATTAGAAAAGGGAGTCTAAGTAGAGGTAACATATCCTAAACTTTGTCAAACGAGTTTACATAGATACCTGGGAACTTTGAGCTACTAATATCGCACGGACGCTCCCTGGGCTGACCGATACACTTTTTTGCTTTTCCTTTTCTCCGATCATGCAAAGGAAAATAAGCGGAAAGTTAAAAATATCCAATCATGCCAGATAACTATATTGATCGCAATATACGAAATCGTTTTACATATGTGTAGTTCTGCGGTATCAAGATAGCCAAGATTCTTACAAAGGCCGTACGGTGTACCGAGGCCTTTACCGTTTAGTATGAACCTTGCATTCACAAATTAATTATACTATAACTTATAAATAGCTATCCTTGTTATACTACCTTGCAAACATTTCGTAGTCTGTATGCAGATCTACCTGGTGTGGTAAATGTGAAACATATTTTTTTTAGGATCAATGGTCATGGACATCTTACATCAGAACTATAAGCGAGGAACAATATCGCAATGCGTATCGCCGATGTACGATATAGGTCGTTAACAAATAAGGCCGAACAGTACGACGAATGATAGCTTAGAAGAGAGTAACTTAGTGCGGCGTGCTTCTTGATACCCGTTGCCTTCCCATTATTTAAGAATTAAAAAGTTGCTAGCTCTACACAGACGAAACAGTACTGCTTTATAATATTTATTAATTTTATTATAGTCATACCGATGAGCCGTTTGAGACTACCTTGTATACATAGGATTTTTCGTAGAGCACCTAGAAGTGTCCTCACCTCAAGTCTCTTTCAAGTTAAAATTAAAAATGAAGTTGAAATCTGCGACAACTTCCTACGATGTGACACTGAAGCAGTTATTTACGGATTGACATTACGAACCAGTCTATAGCCAAAAGAATATTGATCAGCTCAAAAATATGAATTAAATAATCGTATTCCCCGAGATTGTCTCGGATCAAACCAATGAGCGGGGTTCGTAGTAGAAACGGCAGAAAACAGCTAACGTTCATAGTGGCAAACACTAACGGGGCTTGTGAAGGCGGATATCTTTTGCTTACCATTACAAACAGAAGGAAACCTCGGCTACCCTGTCCCCAGCCAGCAAGAAAGCACCCCAAAAACTGCCACCAAAAGGCACCCTTAAATGACACCATAAAAAGTAAACCAGCAAGTTGTATTATACAGGAGCTGAATATGGCATAGCGGTCATAATTTTCACCCCTATCGACAATTGGCCCTATTACACTACTAGCTACAAGCCAGCCAAAGGAAATAACGACGACCAAATATGCGGCCGAAGTGCTATTGATACCGCAGTCGATCTCGAAATCGATCGTTATTAGAGCGAGTGCAAACATTATGAAGTTGGCTAAGGCGTTTGTAATACACGTATTAAATAGAAATCCACTACAAAAATATCGTTTGTTTCCTATACTTTCATTTATCGTGTTGACTTTTGCTGTGACGTTATCCGTCGTCAGTCGAGCTGCCTCCTGTAAGGCAGGTTTCCATACAGCGGCCTTGCAGACAATAACCGATAATATCTGGTTCAGGCAGATCCCGGAAAGAATAAGCAAAAGACCTGATAGCGAGTAAAGCTCAAAGAGCCACGTGGCCAAAGGCGGGTAGATGATACCACTTAATGATGCCGAAATAGATATTAACGACATGGCAGTCGCCCGGTGCTTGATAAAGTGCTGAGATATGACAGCCGACGGAATGCATGTGGTACATGCCAGGCCGAATCCTGAAGCAGCAAGCAACAACATAGTTATAACCGTCTCTACTCGGTAGAACCAGGACAGCCATTATAAACCAATGAATTTCTGATTCCGTATTAATTAGATCAAGAACAATCTACGCGAGTAAGTTTCTTCCTACTTTTTTTCAGAATGTCTGCCGGTCTAGCGCAGTTAAAGCTCAATTTATTTCGGATAAATACTTTAAAAGCATCTTATCGTATTGGCAGCCTTCCCTCAGACGTACCTTAATGCTTGAACTTAAGGCCATATGAGAAGTATATGGCAACCGCATATACTGGCTGATTCCATTCTTACCATGTGCTATTCCCAAAGTGAGGGACAGTATGAGGACGCTGTGTATGAAGTATGATGCGATAAAGAGTGCCCCCGAGGCGAAGATTGCTCCAATAAAGAGTAGGCTCTGCTCAGGGACGTAGTTGATCAGAACTCCATATACCACACCTCAATGTTTCATTGGTACATAAACAAGAGAGAATTTTAAATATTGTTTACTAGATCAATAAAATATTCCCTGCAACTATCTACAGAGACCGTAGACAATAGATTTTCATGCACCGCTATTAGTAAGTATGTGTAGCAATACTAGCCTTTTTACTCAAAAAGTTAAATATTCACTGCACAATATCATCGGTGTTTCGATCTGTTTCATTAATGATCTGCAATGAATTCGTAGAGTATGGGGCCAATTCGCGTTAAAGCTATCACTACAGCTGAAAAAAACCAGAAGTTAGACGCTGCTTTAGCAGAATTTTATTTTGAGAACGGGATACGAAGAAAAAAGCAAAGACGGTTGGAAGACATGACTCACTTCCAGCAAAAGAGCAGCAAGACATGATAGTGAACGGCCAAGATGCGAGTTCGCGCATCAATTCCGGATTGGTCTTCATTAGAGCCACATATAACACTGGCGTTGAACTGAATGCGCACCAGCCAAAGAACATATAAAGAGAAGCAAAAGTTGCCACAAACCATGATCGCAGCGAATCCGGGCCCTGTGGGCGTCCTATGTACTTTTTCAGTGGATTCATAGGGCTGGACTCGTCGGTGATTCCCGCTAAACCGGTGGCCTTTTGTGATTCCGTCATGGCACAACAACTATCGCCGCTAGCTTTTGTGGACCTTGAATCCATGCAACTACACTTCTTGATAAAGCACAACAGACGCACACGGCGGCTAGCGGAGACGCTCTGCCTTACTTAGCGGATGGTTGTGAATGCTGTAGCGTTCCAAAAGGATATATTCGTGCCCTATCACAAACCCACTGTTATGATTTCATAATAATTATCTTAGTACAAGCAATAGCTGACAACACCCGATAAAAGTGGCGTTTTCCCGTTCCACATGTGTCACATACGCACATCAAATCATCGATGCTCCGAATTGTATGTAGGAATCGCGTAACATTAACTGCGCCTACTGCCTGTCTGTTTGTCTGTGTTACAGCAAAGCTCAATCGGGAGCCAAGTTTTATTGGAGGTCTGACAGGAGCGTGATTTCATTCTGTGACTAAGCGAAGAGTGCGCTCGAAAAGCTAAAAGCGTTGATGTCATTCTTCTTGTCGTAAGGGACCATTAGTCTAAGACGTTTTTTTTAAAGGGATAACATCTTTACGAGACCCGTCAAGTCATCCGCTTGCGCGGCTCGACTATTCTATACATGTTAAAAATTTATAACTGCAAGAAACCTCACATAGCAACAGCAAACGACTAGTACAGGTGATTGCTAATTGTTTCTACGGAACGTTTCACCCTGGTGCTTCCATTAGGTACTTGGAGTGAGTAGTAAATCACCGCTGCGAAGATCTGAAAATTATCTTAGCGCCAAGATCCTGACTTACAATATGTTCACGGAATTCTAAATGCCGTTGGAATTTTTTTTACCTCTAAGTTATTACATACATAAACCTTGCAAACCATATTAAAAGCTGCTAAGAGAGAAAATCAACTCTGCATTAAAACTGTCGTATAAGCGTAGTAGTCTATTTTCGCTATAATAATCTATATCAGACACACAATTTGACCGTCGTCTGATTGTCAGTGGGTGACGTTCTCATTTCAAACGATCATTTTCGATTTTCACAAGATCTGTAAGCAGTATTTCCCGTAGCACGGACACCTTGTTTTATGGCTTAATTCATAGAATAATAACGTTTATTAGCTATCAATTATTACGACTAAATAAGAAAAACATGACTCGCAGTTTATTTTGTTTACCTAGATAAGGTACTGGGCTTTATCAGGCGCCCCAACAACGCCTGATAATAAACACTGTCAGTCAAAGACCGACATTGCCGATTTAAATTTGTCTAAAATCACTATTCGCCTATAAGCCTATGTATAGTCCCGAGTACGTTACCCCCCCCTCCCCCCCAAAAAAAAAACGGGTGAAAGCTTCAAGAAAAGACGTACCAAACAAACCTATTTTCATGATTCCTTTAGTTGAAGCGTCAGGAAGAATACAGGCTTCCTCGCCTGTTTCCGATTAGTGTACGCAAGTGAATATACGACTGCAGACGGAGCGCGCTTCAGCGGTAGGTCCACGGCAAAAACTCTGCAGAGCCTAAAGCTGATTGACCTTATTGAAAAATGCAGTTCTAATGATACTTTTGTTGCGATAGGATCGTTAGATAAGAAATTTTCTATGGGCATGTTACTATAGCGTTATTGTTCGCGAAGATCTCAGGTTCACGTCATATTTCAAACAGACGCTCTTTGAGGCCACGAAAGCCACTCGATGTCATTTTTCTTAAAAATTTCCGCAAGAATGAGGCAGCAAGTCATTTTATATTCACCTCGTACGTATATATGCTTACTGTCACTGCAAGAATCGATTGCAGAAATGATCGACTGCTTGATCACGATAGAAAGGATGTGCCCCATATGGGTAAGGGCAATCTTTCGGCTAATGTTCATATTTTGAGTACAATATCTGATAAGGAAAACGTCACGCCAGCATACTTCTTCTACAAAGGTAAACGTATCATTAGGGAAGTTTATCTGTGTGTTTGTCAAAGTGTTATATAACTGTATATGGTTAAAACGAAAAAAATGAGTCCATATGGCCACCGTATAGCCCAGAATCTGCCGGACAGAGTGCCACTGGGTTAAAGTCCAACAAGCTTCGACGTGACAACGTTGACTCGCTCGCTTGTGCTATCAAGAAAGCCTCGACATATTGCACAAAGAAACATTTGGAACGATTCTATAAGTGGTTTAGGTCCTAAAACGCTAGTTGATGGTTATACTGAACAAAAACGACCGTCCGAAACTAAACGAATCAAGGACTTGTACATATTCTATTATTCCCTTCGGAATACTAAACCAATTGCTTCTGTACATAGGTGTACTAATTCCTAGCTCCGCCATTTTTTTCTTTTTATATATATATATATATATATGTATATTGGAGCAAATTGACTTAGCTCTATTATCTGCAAGTAGGAGCAAGTGGTTTACAGCGACATTCCCTGCGTTTATATTGCCGTAGACGTACTAATTTGTATATTATTATTATTATAACGTTTGAACCTCAGTCACGTTGATCTGGCGGGATGTCCTTGTTCCCGTTACCGTTCAGTGTGTTTGATTTCATCGTGTCGGGCGAAGTTCCATGATTTCTCAAGCCGACTAACGAGCGGTACAACTCCCGACCTTAGACGTGATCGGCGGCTTGCTGAAGTCGGTAATAACAATCCGATACGACTTCGCTTCCCCTCGTCCTAAACTACATGCTGTTATCGCACTCGTGGTGATAACAGTTTTGTGTCCTACCTAATAGGGCGTATACGTCACAGGCAGATTTTTAAACCCACTGACAACGGGGTGCGGAAGGACATCGTAACCGCATACACATAAATCTCTTTGTTATCAAATTATGAATAAGTTTCTCTGCGCTCGGGTTATCGTGATGATAGTTACGGATTAGCGAAGATTTGGCTGACAGCGGAAACATTAGCCGCAGTTGCATGCAGCCAAAACGCGAAAGGGTATTCTGCCTGACTGAGCATTCTCCCAACAACGGTTATACGGCTTAAGATTTGCATCGTTGCAGAGCTTCACAGCTACCTACCACCGGCGAAATTCGGCAAAAAAATTGGTCATTATGGTCGTATGTCACTCAATACCGAGTCAACTATTGAGATACAACGCTAAGCCGCAATTTGTCTATAGATTCAGAAATTTCATGAGATGGTGGAGCTTGAAGTTCATCGGACTTGAAGAGGTTAATGACGGTCGTATGGCGGCAGATCATCTTTTCACGATCTTGCATAACAAGCGCCTTGAGATGATCGTCAGCAAACTCAGACGTCCGGTCAGAGTGATGTACATGCTTTAGGTCCCAAACACCATATTTGAACTTCGTAAATCACGCTTCGGCAGTGGCTCAGCGATAGAGTCGTTACTCTACATACGGCAAATTTTCCCTGGTGTTTCGTCGTGGTAGCGTTGCGGCATTCATGAAATGCATAGCATATAAGGTAACAAAAAAATGTACTTTTCATCCACGTGGAACTTGAATTTTTAATTTTTTCGTACACTATCGATAAAGTAAACAACAAATAAGGAAACGTAGAAAAGAGCTCTAACCCTGTGATTAGCCCGATTGTAGTGCAACCGTTGACAGTATTATTTTGTATGAATGATGCAACCAGGTTGTCAAAAGCTCTTCTACAAGCAGTCACATAAGACTCTCTGTCGAGTATTAACCTATGATACCGCAACTGGACTAGACATATATACACGCATTCCTGCTAAACTGAGCTGAACTTTAGGGCCATTAAGTTTTGATTATAAAGTTAGCATTGACGGCACCCGATTTCATATATGAAGCGGCCTATATGGTCCCACCTCTCCCTGACCCACAAAGTCCCCAAGGTGACCAAGGTCAATAAAGTGACTTTCATAAAACGTAAGTTGCTTTCAGTTTATTTTCAAAACGTATCTTTGGGAAAGTCGAAGCTGCGGCTATACATGAGGCGACTCTCGTACTTCCTAGTCGTTCAACAAAGGTTCGATGAAATTTAGTAAAATATAGAGCTGTTCTATATTACCTCACCTTTTATAATTTGGTTACACGAAAGATGCACATCTTTCTATAATAGAGCCACAATAGACCTCGAATATGTTGAAGGTATTTACATTTCAACACTTATCTGCTAGGAAAAACAGTCTGGCTTAGATATAGTCCTTCATTTCCCAATATACGATATCGATGTGATTTCAGTGAACGGAAATTCGTTGAACAGAAAAGTTGTGTTATCTGTTTGTAAATACCAATTCCAGTTATCGTGTCTCACCACTACTATACCGGTTACTTCTACGTTCGTTTATGCTCTGCCGTCTGTCACGGTTCTGTCAAGATATTATACACACTTTATTTGACGCCTAGCTATTTACTGAATTGAAAATTAAAAAAAAATAAAGTCAACAAAAACGGGCAACGGGAATGTAAATGTTAGAAATAATAAGGGCCAATGCAATGCATCATCAATCAGATCAACCTAACTATTTGCTATAGTTTAAGAGCCTTACCTAATTAAGGACACCAATCGATATTTTTAACATAATCCCGCAACGCTGTAGCGGTTTCTTTGCGAGGACAATATAACGCCGGTGAACGTCGCATGCGCCCTCTCTTACACGTCGCAGGGACTTTATTCTTCGTCCATAATTGTCGTTATTTTATCATGGCCGCCCGTATGTGTCAATGTGATTATTACCGTCATTATAGTCAACGCCGTTATTTAATAGATCTTGATCTCCGGCATCTTTCTGGCCTCGGTCATCGGTCACTTATGCATTTTGTCGTCATGATTATTGTCATGAAGATCAGTCCTATTGTTGTTTGGCCTTTTCTATTTACTTTGTCCTCCTTCTCTGGCTGTTCGTGCCCTATGGCCGTTTGTCAGAGCTACAGTTATCATTGGCGGCATTTTGTCACATGCTGGTTTTCCTTTCATAGCAATAATCAATAGTATTGCTAAAATATTCGTGTTAAAAGTAAACGCAAGACAATACTCGCTGTATAATGATTAGTACATTCAACATCGCTTTTTTTTTATCTTTATTACTATTATTATTATTATTGTAAAAATTAATTAAAAAATAAAAAGAGTAGTATATCATTGTGGCGCGCCTGACGATCGTCTTGCCACAAT